CACTATTTTGAAGCTCCAAAGAACAACTCCATACTACAAGAGGAATCGGGCGCATGTTTGTAGTTTCTTTATACGTGGTCAATGTACAAGAGGTTTGGAGTGCCCTTATAGGCATGAAATGCCCGAGACTGGGGAGTTGTCACAGCAAAACATTAAGGACCGTTATTACGGGTATGTGCAACCTAATCTTTATCCTGTCAATTTGAATGCTATTCGTTTTCTTTTTCTTTTTCAATGCTCGTTTGACTCTGGATATGTCTAATCCGCATGTAGGTTTTCTGTTTTGTAGTAGAAGTAGACATAATATTGACATTTAATCTCCTGGTTTCAACTGTCAATATGTTCCTTTTAAATATTGGCTGTTTAGAGTTATTCCCTTGTAACTTTGGTGGTCTATTCCTTTTTGCCTGTACTATATTCATCCCAGTGAACACCCAATAAAAATAAAATAGCTTTTTCAAATCCTTGCACTCTTCCCAACCATGGAGTTTAAAAAGAAAATAAAGGTTTTGCTTGTTCATACTTTTTGTTGAGGACTGTGTTGCATAATGCAACAACAACAACAACAACATACCCAGTAATATCCCACAGTGTGGGGTCTGGGGAGGGTAGCGTGTACGCACCTTACCCCTACCTTGTGAGGATAGAGAGGCTGTTTCCAATAGACCCTCGGCTGAGGAAAGCATAAGCAACATATTAATGAAAATATAGACAAGAAGGGACAATACCAAAAAGCCATATAAAAGCAGAATAAGAACAACAGGACAGAAAGGTGATCAACAATGAAAAATAACTATTAGTCATAAAAACCTACTACCAACAGAAAGCGAGACTGCATGCCAATACTACTGTTATGAACACTCAAGACTACCTACTTTACTACCCTAATCCTCTACCTCCATATCTTCCTATCATAGGTATGTCCTTGGTCAGCTGAAGCTGCGCCATATCTTGCCTAATCACCTCTCCCCACCTCTTCTTTGGCCTACCTCTACCTCTCCGTAGGCCCTCCAATGTCAACCTCTCACACCTCCTCACCGGTGTGTCTGTGCGCCTCCTCCTCACATGACCAAACCACCTAAGCGCGCTTCCCACATCTTGTCCTCAATAGGGGCCACACCCACCTTGTCGCGAATAACCTCATTTCTGATCCTATCTAACCTGGTGTGCCCACACATCCATCTCAACATCCTCATCTCTGCTAGCTTCATCTTCTGTACATGAGCGATCTTGACTGGCCAACACAGCCCCATACAACATCGTTGGTTTGACCACCAGTCTGTAGAACTTACCCTTAAGTTTCGATGGCACCTTCTTGTCACACAAAACACCGGAAGTGAGTCTCCAATTGAATGCGGTGAGCCTGGATCGAACACGCGACCTTCAGATCTTCAGTCTGACGCTCTCCCAACTGAGCTATCCCAGCAAATAAATGTTCCTGTGTTGCATAATATTTTTTGAAATAAACAAAATATTTTCCTAAAACCTCGTCCAATGTTAATATCTAATAAATAAGTAATCTAACAATCTAAAATCTAATAATAAGTACTCCCTCCGTTCCAGTTTATGTGAACCTATTTCCTTTTTGGTCCGTTCCAAAAAGAATGACCCCTTTCTAAATTTTGGAAACAATTTAGCTTAAACTTCCAATTCTATCCTTAATGAGAAGCTTTTGTAACCACAAATACTCTGGGCCCCCTTTTGACTTATTTAGGATCACGAATTCCAAAAGTCTTATTTTTTCTTAAACTCCGTGTCCAGTCAAACCAATTTACATAAATTGGAACAGAGGGAGTATTAGTTAGGTTCTATTTGTACGAGGAACAAAAAGAACATACAAGATGGATGGAAAGAGTTTTGATAATTGGCTTAATCAGGGAAACTACAGATAGAAAAGGATATACCTATCCTAAGGATCCGTCATCCAAGGAATGAGCTTCTCTAGAGACAAATCCCGTGGACTGCACTCGGAAACAGCAGCTGATTCAACAGCCATGCTGGCCTTTTCTTTTTGTTTTAATCCTTCACTAGTTCTGAACTTATGGAGATGAAAGTAGTTGCTTGATGACACACGTGGTTAAGGATTATGTTGCCTTGACTTTGATGATGCATAGCTGAACTTGTACCTGCGCCTCAGTATAGTCTCGAGACTAAGCCACATTTTTTCCTAATCGTTAATTGTTATCACAACAAATATCTCTGTCCAGGTAAAAGACCATTCACCTTCTCAGTTGAGAAGATTTCATAGTGAAAAATCACAGACATTCTTAATTTGCTCGCCTATTAGTCATATCCTCGCATCAGTGTGAATGATCTTTTTTTCATTTATTTATCAAAATCAGTGCTATCATCTTTTGGTTTCCTTATTTCCTAAATAAGAAACCTTCGGAAAATCAGACACCTCAATAAACTTCCATATCTGGCACCCTTAACGAGTCTAGGTAGCATTCATGTCAAGTATATCAGAGAAGGTGGGACTAGCAAGGTCGCCCTAAAACCATAGTTCGCCTTCTAGATTAAGTTAGCCAAGATTGGAAGGATCCATTTCTTCTCATACTCTAAGCAGCTAATGCCATACCATTTTACATCTTTGATATATGTCCACCTGTTCTTGTCTCTTTAGGTTCTCATCGTGACTAGATTAATGACATCTTGTTGAATGTTCTCTTTCCTTAAGATTTATTGTCCTAATGATCTTCATTAACTTAAAAGAGCTATATTACTATCTTATTCACGTTTTTGGCTCATGTTGTGGCTCAAGAATTGTTGTCATTATGTTACCTGCAATGCTTGCAGAGTTAATGATCCCGTGGCTATGAAGCTACTTAATAAGGCAGGTGAAATGCCTTCATTGGAGCCCCCAGATGATGAGAGCATTAGAACCCTCTATGTGGGTGGTGTTGATGCAAGAATCAGCGAGCAGGATCTAAGGGACCACTTTTATGCACATGGAGAAATCGAGTCTATTAAAATGGTGTTGCAGCGTGGTTGTGCTTTTGTAACCTACACGACAAGAGAAGGTGCAGAGAAGGCGGCTGAGGAACTAGCGAACAGGCTAGTGATAAAGGGCTTGAGACTGAAGCTTCTCTGGGGGAGACCACAAGCTCCTAAACCAGAGACCGAGCTGTCTGATGAAGCAAGACAGCAGGCTGCAGTGTCACACAGTGGATTGTTGCCCAGAGCTGTCATATCACAACAGCAGAACCAGCTTCCTCCACCCCCAGGCACACAGGAACAACCCCCACCCATGCCATACTTCAACATTCCGCCAATGCCTCAGCAAGAAAGAGCATATTATCCGTCAATGGATCCTCAGAGGATGGGTGCCGTAGTTCCATCTCAGGAGGGGGCTTCTAGTTCAGCTACAGGGTCAGGTCCTGAAAACAAGAGTGGTTCTGAGAAACAACCACAAGTACAGCAGCATTACGCGTATCCACCGGCGCCCCCACCTCAAGGTCAATTTTACCCGCCTTATTATCCACCCTATGGCTATATGCCTCCACCACCGCCTCAACATTATCAGCAGTATCCCCCGCCTTATCAAGCTGCCAGACCTCCACCACCTCCTGCTGGTGAGCAAGCAGCTTATCAGCAGAAGCCTCAACCAGCAGTACCGGCAGCACAGCAACCTTGATTCAGTTTTATCCAGCTGCTACGATCAAGAAGAATCTATGTAAACTGACGTTCTATATTTTCAGTACTGCAAAAAAAATTATTACTATGCGAGCATTTGAATTGAGTATTTGATTCTGTTCTGCCAATGCAAATTTCTATGGTATTAGGTGCCTCTGTTGCAGTCGTTCATTTCTGTTCAAGCTTTGATTCAATCTCTCCATACTCTTGTATTGTTCAGCCTTAGAACCAAGATTAACTGCTGTTTCTCATCATTTTTCTGAACTTTACATTCTTACTACATGTACACAAAAGTTTATTTTCGAGTTTCCTGCTATTGGTCCATGTTCCTTGGGAAATAAAAGAAAATTTCTCACTGAAATTGGAACCTGTGTCTTAATATTGAGACACGGCCTGTTAAGTAATGTAGTTTGGTTTACGCACGGAGGTACTTGGATAAATTTGTTACACCTTACTACAGGAGCGGGGAATTGACATAATATAGAACTTAGTTCGATGCACTAAGCTCTCGCTATGCGCGGGGTCCGGGGAAGGCCGAACCACAAGGTCTATCGTATGCAGCCTTACCTTGCATTTTTGCAAGAGGTTGTTTCCACGACTCGAACCCATGACCTCCTGGTCACTTGGATGCAGCTTTACCAGTTACGCCAAGGCTTCCCTTCACATAATATAGAACTTGTCATATTAAAATATTATGCTAGAACATGAAATCGTTCAATCTTAGTCCTATTACGATATATACAACAATTTTGGCCCTATTGATTGACAGCAAGCTAAAAGGGAAAAAATATTGGTTACATGATTAGTCACGAGACTACTTTAGGGAACCAACATACCAGAATCTGCTACTTTAGGGAACCAACATGCCAGAACCAACACTCCTAAATTCACCAACTTCCAACGCAAAAGTTAAGAACATAAGATAGCAAACAACCAGAAATTTTTTCCTGCGTAATGGTAAATGTATTTTATATGGTTCACGAGAAGTTTGAACTCAAGGGTATGATTTTTTTTTTTTTTTGGTTTTCTACCCGGTGTCCAGTACCCCCGTTGGAACCCGGCTATATCCTCGTTCGCGCCGCGTAGGGTCCCATACGGGGGGAAGCGCTCCCTGCCAAGAATTTTTTCATACCTAGTACAGTCCCATCTACTGCACCACATCCTTTGGTTGTAAGGGTGTGACCTAGTTGTTGATAAGTGAGTGCAAACTTTGGAAATCAAGATTCAGTTTCAGTATAGACAAAAAACTCTAGGCGACTTTCTCCTATTAGCATAAGCCTTGTTGGATAGAGTTAACCGATACTATCCAAATACCCTGCTGGTAGGAGATAACATTTACTCGGTAGAATAATTGAAGTACGTGCAAGATGGCCCAATGCCAGGTTTCCAATGGACTCGGTAGCAAGTACCTGGTAGAATATGCGAGATGCGCTCGAGCTGGCTTTAAGGTAATACCCGACATATGTGACATCAAATACTTGATGGATAATCGAGGTGCGTGCAAATTGGCTAAACTATCATCTAAAAAGATGGTTCACAAGAAGGTTGAATAGATTGTATATAGACTGAAGGCTCTTTCTACGCATTTTCAATCTTCCTACCACCTGTCTATGACAAAATCTTAGAGCATATTATTTTGAAGATAGAGTTTGTTTTTTTTCTTTAGAATATTGCATAGTTTTTAGTAGTTTGTATGTGTTAGGCCTTCAACACATTTGTAGACCTCTAATAGCCCGTTTGGCCAAGCTATTTTTTTTTGGACAAAAGTGCTTTTTTTGGCCAAAAGCACTTTTGGACAAAAATTGGGGTGTTTGGCCAAGCTTTTGGAAGGAAAAAACGCGCTTTTGAGGAGAAGCAGAAGCAGTTTTGGAGAAGCAGAAAAAAGTAGCTTATCTCCAAAAGCACTTTTCTGAGAAGCACTTTTGAGAAAAATACACTTAGAAGCAGTTTTCAAAAGCTTGGCCAAACACTAATTACTGCTCAAAAGTGCTTTTCTAATTAATTAGCCAAACACAAACTACTTCTCATCAAAAACACTTTTTTTAAAAGTACTTTTGAGAAAAACACTTCTCAAAATAAGCTGATTTTAGAAGCTTGGCCAAACGGGGTATAAATCTTATTGGGGACATGTGAAAGTGCAAACATGTGAAGGTTCTTCTACTTTCAATTTCATTCTGGATTTTAATCACATGAAAGTTTGGCTGTTTTCCCTATGTAAATTGACCACCAACTAGCTTTGCTTTGTTTTATGTGTTTTCTTGTTTGTTATTTTTAATAGATTTAAAATATATATATGGTAATGGTCAGTGGCAAAGCCAGAAAATTTAATAAGGGTGTTCAAATTTTGAACACCCTTTGCCAGTGGGCTATGCAAGGGTGTTCAAAGTATATTTTTAATCAATAACAAATAATGTTTTACTTTATACATAGTATAATTTTTCGGCGAAGGGTGGTCAGTTGACCACCCTTGAGCCAACATAGCTTCGCCCTGGTAATAGTGTCAAGATCTTATACACAATCAGTGCAGTTTAACCTGTAATAGACGGTTAGTATCATTATTAACTAACTAGGTTCCCAATTAATACTTATAATGAATAATATTTATTTGAAATCACGCAACTTCATAGGTGATTGATTTACTAAACCACCACACCTCCATATGTTAGGTTAATTTTGCGCCAGCCGTTGAATTTTATCCAATATAACATTAAACTCAAAATATTATCTTTAAAAACATTTTTTTACTTAAATCATCTAGCATCCGGAACCCATTGGCTCGATTGAAATGGATACGCGCCGTTGAAAGCCCACTAATAGGGCCGGGGGGTTTAGAGCTCCTCATTCACAGAATTGGAACTCGAAACCTCTGATTAAGTACGAAAGAAACTTTACCATTCCATCGTAATTAACTTTTGCAGTGTCTTTCCATGCAGAAAACATTGTAAAATACCCATAGAATTCTCCAAACCTCAGAGTTTCCAACTACCTATAAATTTATCAGCTAACATTCCCAAACAACATAAACTATCATACATTTTTTTTTTCTTGTTTCTCTTTTGGTTATCACTGCCTCAGTTAATACATAAATTCTTATCAACAAAGAACAAAATGGAGAAGATGCCTAGTTTAGTACTATTCCGAGACGAATTTAAAATTTAGAGTTAGTGAATAGTACGTATATATTATAATTTTTAAAAATATATGTGTACATAATTTAAGTCGAAAATAATAGATTCAATTGAATCCGCAAAACTTGCTCTAGATTAACCTCTCGAACATCATCACTTCCCTCTTCTCAAAGTTTTAACATTTAACTGATTTTTTACAAATTTACTTTTTTTAATTTAATATTTGGCATTGGTTTTGGACTTATGGTTACCAGGCAACAATTGAAGAATCTCCAGCACCTCAGCCTCAACCTCCTAGCAATTTTCCAATGGTGATTCATGTTATGAGCAATCTGAATTAATTCTCATTTTCTTTTTTTCTATTTTTGTTAGAAGTTGCCAATTCTTACTTATAATATTGTTTTTTTCCCTTGCAGAATGGTACTACTCCAGGTAGTCTCCATCCACAAGGTATTAAATGAGTTCTTATTTCACATATTATATAATTTGGATACTGAGGGCAAAGCTACATGTCTTGAAGAGTGTTCAATTGACACATTTCGTCGAAAAATTATACTGCGTATATAAGTAAGATATTAGGTTTTATAGGTATACTATAATATATACCGAACACCTTTTATGGAGAAATTTTTTTCACTTATTCAAATTTGAACACCAGAAGGGGAGCCTTAGCGTAACTGGTAAAGTTGCTGCCGCATGACCAGGAGGTCACGGCTTCGAGCTGTGGAAACAACCTCTTGCAGAAATGCAGTGTAAGGCTGCGTACGATAAACCCTTGTGGTCCGGCCCTTCCCCAGACCTGCGCATAGCGTGAGCTTAGTGCACCGGGCTGCTCTATTCAAATTTGAACACCCTTGAAAATTTTTGTGGCTTCGCTACTAACTGAACTATCCCTAAATAGATGAGTGGAATTTGTAATTCCTTCTTAATCAAAGTGTCATGTTATACCATATGAACTTAAATATTTTTTAATATTTTTTTTGGCTACATTTTGCAGAATGTCTACCTAGGTGCACATATAGATGCTCAAAGACACAGTACAAGAAGCCATGTATGTTCTTCTGCCAAAAATGTTGTGCAAAATGCCTTTGTGTTCCTCCAGGGACTTGTGGGAACAAGCAATTTTGTCCTTGCTACAATAACTGGAAAACTAAGAGAGGAGGCCCTAAATGCCCTTAGGGCTTGTTTGGTATGACAGATAAGGGATAATTAATCCCGAAATTAAATTTGAGATGAGTTTATTCTATGTTTGATTGAGATAAAATCGTGGTATAACTAATCCCGGGATTAGTTATTTCCGGATTGTAGTAATTTTTTCATCCCTATAGGAAGGTGAGATAATTAATTATCCCGAGATCAGTTATCCTGGGATTAGTTAAAAGACCTTAAGATCATAGAGACCTTAAATGAACCTTTACATTATCAGTGTAATTTTAACCCGTTATAACAGATTGTTGTTTTATTTTTTCATATTATTAGTTTTACTTATTACGATTAATTTTCTGTAATTTTACTTTAAGTTGAAATCCTAGAAAGTGAACTGTAATCTATGTGGACAGCATTTTCCTTTCTTTTTTTTTGGGCAATAATTTTTATAAGTACACATTCTAGAATAATCAGCACTTCTCTTTCTTATTTCCATTTTTATTTAATCTCTTTCGAAAGGAACATTCGAATAAATTTTGAATTGACTTAATGGAAGAAAAGAGGGTACATAAGCTGTTTTTGCCTCAAATCTTATTTTCTATTAGAATAGTCTTATTGTGAAAACACGTCTTGCTTGACTAAGGACCCATTTGAATTTCGTTTTTTAAATTATTTTTCCCCACCTAACGTTGGTGCTCTCTTGGGATCTTGACTAATCTGGATTTTTGTTGTATAAGACCTATTAAAGGTGAATCGTTCTCTACAGATTTTTTTTATATATATAATATTCACAAGGCTCGAACCCAAATTTTTTTCTTTTTGATAAATAAATTTTTTATTTCACCAAAGAAATTATGTACAGATATCTAAGCAACAAAAAAGCTCTAGAGTTAGGCCTGAAACCTCAAAACTCTCAGCAACTACAGAACTTCTAAGCAGTTACAAAAATATGGGAGAAATTTAAAAATAGCCAGATTTACAAGTGGTCATTCAAAAATAGCCACAGTTTCAAAAGTAATCGAAATTTAGCCACTTTTCATGTAAAGATAAATTTGAACGAAAACACTGTTCAAAATCCGGAAAAATACTCCAGTATAATATACTGGTCCAGCATAGTATACTGGAACTTTCCGTGTGTTGGAGTTCCAGCAAGTTCATACACAGGTGCACCGATCTCCAGTATATTATGCTGGAACTTTCCGTGTTGCAGCAAAATAGTGGCTATTTTTCAATGACTTTGCAAACGCTGACTATTTATGAATGACCTGTCCGAAAACTAGCTAGCCCGTGCTATTTTTACCAAAAATGTCCGCCTACTACTATTAACTAATAGTAAATGAATTCTATTCATCACCACAATTCTAGTTGTTTTATAAAGTAAATTGATCATGTTTGGTTTCATTTCAAAATTTGGTTAAATTGGAATAGAAGATGGGAACTAGTCAAAACAAAAAAGATGTTGGAACAGCAAAAGCGCCAATTTTCTATAGGATTATATATATTTTTTGGGTTCCCACCCGCTATTCGGTATCCGCATTAGAGCCCGACTATATCAGGATTCGCATAAGGTAGGGCCCCATTCGGGGGTAGCGCTCCCTACCAAGGATTTTTCCATACCAAAGGCTCGAACCCGAAACCTCTGGTTAAGGGAGGAGCAGTCTCATCCACTGCACCACATCCTTTGGTGAAAGGGTATGTGATATTATTTGATAAACTAATCACGTCTTGATTGGGAATTAAGCTATCGTCTGAACAATTATAGCCGTCATTATGAACTATATCAAAGACTAAATAATTATAACACGTGATTTGCTGTTATTATTAAATCCCAACAAGCAAAAAACTACTAGCTTAATTAAAGGGTAATGATATTTCTTATCACTATTTATATTAAAGAGTGATATATTTTTTTTATGGTGATGTTCTGATAAAACTTACCTGTTACCTCTCATTCGTCACATGTATCTCTTTCTCTTGTATGATTTTTATTGTTATACCAAAATCAATTTTCAAATGCAAAAGAAAATTAGCAATAAGTCTTTTAGCGTTAGTAGACAATATTTATAACAAATTATCATTTCAGAAATGAAAGAAAAATTAGAAAAAGAAAAAAAAGTCCTATAACCAAAGTCAGAATAACATTTTTGTTCTTAATCATTTCCAATCTTTTCTGTTTGAAGAATCTGAATATCTTGACAACACTAATGTAATGCTTTAACACCCAAAAGAAAAAGTAAAAAAATGAATAAATCCGGAGTAATTCAGAAACCAAGAAACAAATGGTAATTATAGTTAAAGTAGTACTGCACTTATTATTCAAAGCCAAATTACTTTTAATACGATACGATACATCACTAATCTTAGATGATCTTGGAGAAGCATACATATATATATTCATCAACAAAATAAAAAGATGAACCATGCGTCAGCTGCCCTCGGAGATTTCTCAATTATTAAGAACAACACAAAACAAAAAGTTGAATAGCAAACAATAATACTTATCTTAAATTTAATATATGATCTAGAAGAAGTTTCTTTTCCGTCTATTGATGACTAGCTCGTACACGCATATATTGCTATTAAATTTGTCGATGAATCTGGTCTTGTTGAACATGTCAGGATTCGAGGTTTGAACACAAAAGCCCACTAACCGAGCAAATTAATTGACTTGATCTTGATCTTGATCTTTCTTGTTCTTTGGGATAGGAGCCAAAGCAAAAGAAGAAGAAGAAGAAGAAATGGCTTTAATGGTCGTCGTCTTGTTGTTGTTGTTAATGGATTTGTTTTGTGATATTGAATCATCTAAAGATTCATCACTATTCTTTCTTGTTTTGATTAATAGATTGCTTTGTTGGGAAATGTTGATTTCTCTATTTGTTTTTTGGAGAGGATAGAGGAGATCTGTTGGAAAAAAGTTGTATTGAAGGCCAGCCATGAAAAGTGTTAAATCTTTTTGTGTTCTTTTTTAATGGATTTTTTGTTGTTTTAAAAAAGGAGGGTTGTGCACTTATTTATAGACACATTAAAGGTTTTTTTGAAAGGTCAATGGCTATAGGTTGGTGCGAAGGATCCAAATAAGAGAAAAAAAGGAAAATAAAGGAAGAGAGGTGGTGCGAAAAAAAATATATTTACTCGGTGTATTATGGTTTATATCAAATTAAATAATTTAATTTTAAGAATTATAAGCTACATGAAGATAAATATTATTTAACTATGATCAATTGAACTATGATCGGCTAAAACGAGTTAAACCAACACAGTCGTTGGTTAGAGACGATAGGTATCTGGTAAAACAGTTGACACATGCACAATTTATACCAACATCACTATTATTGAAAATATATCGCTACTTTATTATTTCACAAAAAAAAAAAGGGTAATTACTTGACTTACTTATCAAAAGAAGGAAAAAATCAAGTAATGAATGTTGATTGGCTCTACTTGTGACACCATTCTAAAGGAACACTTGTCAAGGTTAGCAACCACTGCTTTTTGGTAGTTGGATAGAAGCAGGCATGATTTTGACTAGCAATTTCTTGTTGATCAAATTTAATTCGCCACCAAATTTATTTAATTATTTTCACCAAATTTATTTAATTACTTTATAATCTAACTTGCATTGGCTAGTACATATATATACCTGCTAATTAACATGTCATTTTTTTTGTTGCTAATGAACATGTCACTATAGGCATGTTATACACCTTTTCGTGGTAAGTGGTTGGAGTTTTCAAGAACTATCATTCTTAATTTTAGTCAACTTTATTTATTTATTTTGAACAGAAAATAAATCAAATTCTATATATAAACAAACTGTAAAAGACATATGTTTACCTCGAAAATACACGAAAATACAAGTAACAATTAAAGTTGATTTGTGGTTTTAAAGATACGTGATTAAATTCTTTACTCAATGATTAGATAATCTTACAAATGATTGGGGTCCCCTTTATATAATAGGGAAATTCTAAATATGGTATATTTCTATTTACAGTAGGGAATATTCCTGATACAGCTGTCTAACCGTCTAGTACGGAATCGTACAATCATATTCCGGGATTTGCGCCATGATCTTGGGGACGTGGCAGGAATCTAGCACATTCTGTTACAAGTCCATAAAGGTACTATTCCGGGGTCGAGCATACTCGACCCCGACAGATGTTGTGCTCTGTCTTTGAACTCAGATCTGGTCCCTCGAGCTCGAACTCGATCTTGCTTGAGCTCGGACTTTGGACGGCCCCTCGAGCATATAGATCATAGGCATACGATCTTGACCGTATACAGATAGTCTCCGCATTTCTTAGAGTAAGATGATAAGAAACGATATGACCCTCGCTTTCCCGGAGTCTTTAACGATGACGTCATTTCCGTGACGTAGGCGCTTCGAAGTGACTGAAACGTCCCATCGGTCCACTTCCCCAAAACATTGAATGCACGCCAGTACTGGTGAGCCACTAGCGCCCCCGAACCGCCGTTGCCCTTCTATAAATATGAGGCTGTTCCTTTGAGTAAAGAACTTTACTCTTTCAATACATCTTTCTCTTCTTCATCTCTTTTTCTAATCGTCTGTTTCCACCGCCTCTTTGCCGGAAAATGCCAGGTTCTTGTAAAAATACCACATTCCGACACAATCTGCATTCTTTAGCCTAAGATCATGGCTAAAACTTCCAAAACGGTCCCCAAAAAAGATAAAGCGTCGACTTCTTCTACCTCTCAGCCGTCCAAACCGGTAGTGCCGCCGACTCTTGAAGAAATCATCCCCGGCCCTTGCATAATTAAGAAGGATTTTGGTATAGAAAATCCCCCCGATGTCCCGGGCTGATGCGAGCATGCATCTAGATATATTAGTCTAATATCGGAGAAGAACCTCGAAGCAATGAAGAGGGATTGCGGTTGGGGCGACGAGGTCTTGGTTCAGATCCCGAGCCCCGAGGAAAGCATTACTACCCACGTGGAGGGTTTTTTAAGTGTTTACACTTACCCCTTCACACTGGGTTCCCTCGATCCCGTGGTGATCGACTTCTGCAAAACATACGAAGTCACCCTCGGCCAGATTCACCCCTCCTTTTGGCGCATCGTGATCATGCTGCGCTACTTTTCCGAGAAGGCCGAGGGGTTGGAGT